TGGTCCCTAAATCTTTTTTTTTTTTTTTTTTTTTAATATATAAGAAAATCAATTGTCAGATCCACACCATTGTAGAGGTAACTTAAACAGTTGAAGTTAATACACAGAGATTAATGAATTACCTAATATCCTACTAAAGGAAGACTTAAAACAATTTTTAACATTAAAAATTTACATTTAATCATTGCAAGGAAAGACTTTAACATCTTACAATAACGCCATACATGCACTTCTTCCAGGGCTACAAATTCAATGAAAGAAAAAAACTGTTCATACCTACAGTGAGTTTTGCAAACTCGTTTGGAAAATTCTTCTCTAACCATTGTCTACATTTAGCAACATCGGGCATGTATTCACAGTACTGGAAGGAAGAAAAGAACTGAGTCACAACAAAACATCTTCAATCGACGGCCACATTTTAATGAGAATCACTCCCTATGCTTGCTCTATAAAGGATGATGAAACCAGCTACTCCCAGCAAACTTCACACCCACTAGAAATCGGTATTCAACCAGGAAATGTACCACAGAAATTAGAAATGGACAGGAATTAGGTACCTCTTCCCTGGAGTAACTTACTTCTCCCTTATCAAACAGAAGGGCCATCAGAAAGAAAGTGACCGAGGGAGACGTCTCCTCCTGCTCTGGGCACACAGTGCCTCGTTACTTTCATGCCCCGCCCACAGAGCCTGACTTATAAGGCCTCACAAGTTACTTATATTGACCTGTCTCCCTCTGCTTGGATGTGTACACTGGACTTGAAGGGTACTCTTTCTTACTTTTTATTTTTGGCTTTGCAGTGAGGTGCATCTGCTCAGCAGAGAGAGACAGAGAGCGAGAAAGGGCAGGGAAAGTGAGAGATCACGCCCCTGGAGGGATGGCCGCACTGCAGTCCCTTCTCTTCCATTCTCCTCTGGGGATTTGGGGCATGCACATGTGCCCAGCATGATCTTCAAGCCGCCAGGTTGGGACTCACACCACAGTCGGCCACATGGGACCCAGCCACCTCAACCTTGATGCCGTCTGCTGGCCCCAAGGACACTCTTATTACTGACTCTTCATGAGTTCCACGCAAAAATCTAACATGTACAGCCAAATACAACAGACAGGACAAGGACAACTCAAAGTTTAGGGAAACACATTTATAACATCTGTAAGCCCATGAAATTATGCTAAGCCGAAGTCTACAAAAGGTTGAAACTATACTATCAAATAACAGAAAATGAAAAATAAAAAGTTCCTGAAGGGGCTCGAAAATCAAGAGTGACCTCAGATGCGAGTTAAAAAGAAGAAAAATGTAAAAGAACTTACCTCTGTTGGTAATGAACAGACTGGGGAAATGGAGAGAAAAAAGAGATTTGAAATGTTTAAAAAACACACATACTCATCACTATTTTCATATTTGACAAAATGCTTCATCTCTATTTTTCCTATGAACTATTTCTGTACCATTTAAGAAATGCTAGCCACCAGTTTTGGTTTGTAGGTAAAGGCATGGAGTTATTCGAGATAGCAGTATCTTGAGTTTGGATCCAGAGAGGACTGTCTCAGGCCAGCCTCACAGGACCCCGCCTGGCTGACTTCAGCTGGAATCCCGGCTCCAGGGGCGTAAGAAACATGCCAGGCACAGATTCGTGTGTGCCCAAACCCTGACAGGAGGGAGAACTGGAGGAACGGGGACATGACGGTACCCCGCTGGCGGGCATCGCTCTCTGGTAAACACGTGTGTCCCGTCAGAAAAAAGAGAAAAGACCGTCTCCCCGCGTTGACGAGCACCAAACTGTATTACCTTGCAGATATCCGAGCCTTACCATGACCGTTCACTGGTCTGAAATTAAGCTAAGATGGGGACCACACAACAAAGGCTGAAGGAGTCAGTTACTGCTTTCCTTCCCTCGCTCTAGAGACAGGGTCTCACTACCTGCCCAGGCCGGCCTTGAACTTGCAAACCGGCTGCCTCAGCTTGACTCGGTAGCTGGCACTACTGGCATGTGCTACCACACGAGGCTGCTTATTTCTTTTGATTATTTTACCCGAACAGCCATGGGACCAGCAGATGACATAATGACTGTGTCGCTGGACTCCTATGTAGTTGACCGCGGTTCAGGTCCCAGACCCGGCAGCTTAAAACTGATGCCAGGCACAGGGCATACGTGCAGGCATGGCCAAAATCCCAACAGGAGAATGGAGGGGAAGGGACTGCAACATGACCATCTCTCTGGGTGGTGACTTCTCGCTTTCTGCTTCTCTTGTCTCCGGTGAGCTCACGTGCCCTATAGCAAAACTCTCTCTCTTAAGGGAAAAAAAAAGAGCAGCCACTACCTTTTACTCATACTGACAGTTACAGACTTCGGCAGCACTTCTGCCACCATCTCTCTGCAATATCCTTCTCCTTTCTTCCTTCAGGTTTTACTATATAAGACTGCAACACTGTGAAGCTAGAAAGAACTTCGGTCAGCCTGGGTCACTTTCTTTATTTTCTTATTTTTAAGCTTTAGAAATGGAGTAGTTCAGGGACCACCAGACGGCCTAATGGTTAAGCCACTGGACTCCCGTGTAGTCAACTACTGTTCGAGTCCCGGACTTGGAGGCTTAAACTCATGCTGGGCGCATGTGTGTGCGTGCCCAAGATCCTAAGAGAATGGAGGAGAAGGAATTGCACCTGAGGAGTGATTTCTCATCCCACGTGCTGGGCAGCTAACAATGCCAGGGCTTTGCTGGGCTTTATGCCCAATACATATCCATATTAGCCCCACAGCCTGTTAAGGTAAGGGTTACCAGAGCTGTACTAACGACGAATAAAATGATGCCTAAGAGTAAGTAACCCACTTACATTTGGATAATAGGATTCCTGGACTCTTTCTGGAGCTCACACTAAATCGGATAGCATAAAGAAACAGGCAACCCAGCTATGCCACCCAGGTAAACATGGCTGCCGCCCCTTCCCCTGCCAGCGCCGCCATCGCTGGTTAACAGACGGGCCCTAAAGGCAGCCAAGCAGATCATCCGATGGCAAAGGTCAAACGTGGAAGCCAGCGGTCTACCCTGGCCTGGTTGAGCTGACAGACTACAGCAGCTCTGCACGTCTCTGGCTTGGGGACAGACAATGTTTGCTGAGGACTTACCACGTGCCAAGCATTATTTCATTTACTGTCAGCAGCTCTCTGAAGTAGCCTCTACGGTCCTCCGCATTTTACAGATGAGGAAACTAGCCAAGGTCACGGTCAGTAGAGGGCAGAGACAGGAGTTAACTCAAACAGACTGGGCCAGTTCAGTGGCAAAATGGTAATACTCTGCTCGAGTGAGGCTGGGTCCACACAGATCGCCAAGTCTGGGTCTCTGGTTTGCCTGTACTCACTGGGTGACACACCTGCAACCCTGCTTGGCCGGGAAGGCTCGGGTCGGGGGGTGGGGGAGCTGATCGTAGCGTGAGATCTGTTGAGGTGCTTGTCTCTCTCACTCTCATTAAATAAATAAACTTTAGGAACCAGCAGGTGGGTAAGGCACTGGACATTCCCGCGTGGTCAACCATGGTTCAAGTCCCAAACCTGATGGCTTGCTTTCTCACTTTCTCTCTGTCTCACTCTAGTCAAATTAGAAAAGAAAATGAATGAATAAATACAAAATTAAATAAATAATTCTTTAAAAATTTAAAAAACAATTTATTTTCTCTCTCTCAAACTCTTCTGCATATACACAACTTCTAACATTTAAAAGAAAAATAATTAAACTCAAACGTCAGTGCCTGAAGCCTGTCTTGAAGGGACACTGTCCTCCCAGAAAGGAGGCCACCTCACCTGCCCTGGCTCCTCACTACACTCCGACCCAGCCCTGTCCCAGTCAGCCCCTGCTCCCTCCCCGATACTCCCAGGCCACCTTTGCCACCATACTGTTCTTGGGGGCTCCTTCACTTCTTTTTGCATTTTCCACCCATCACCTATGGCTGAACGCAAACCTCACTTCCTCGAAATGTCTCTACTTTCCTCTCGACAAAGACTTCATTCCTTGCCTGAACTCCTAGTTCATAGCATAGTCGGTACCATTTAAGTCAACCTTTAAAGTTCCCAAAGTGCTTCTCAAACAACGAAACCTTAAACTCCTTGAGGAAGAAGTACCCCTCCTCTCCCCATCCTAGCGCCTGTAATATGATAAAAAGAAAGGAGGGAAACAGGAATAATAAACCTTCCTTAAAACGGTTAGTGACTGGGACCAGCAGATGGCGTAATGGTTATGTCGCTGGACTCCTGCGTAGTCAACCGCAGTTCAAGTGCTGGACCTGGTGGCTTAAAACTCGCACTGGGTGCGTGCCCAGAAACCTGAAAGGAGAATGGACTGCAGTGTGGCCACTCCCCGGGCGGTGATTTCTCACTTTCTCTCTGTCTCTTGGGAGAGTACACACACAACCTATAGCCAAAAAAATCTCTTCTTAAAAGAAAGGTTAGTGACCTCATGTCAACACAAGTTATCCGTGGGATGGATTGACCATTAGTGCAGGCCACCTCAGGAGTGGTTTTACCATCTGTGAGGAACTTAGTTTCTGGAGCAAGAACATAACAAAGTGACAAGGGAGATTAACATGCTGCATTTTCTGGAGGAGAGAGAACCCGCAAATTCAAAGGCCAGCTTTAGAAATCAGGTTTGAGGTTAGGAAGTGCCTTGCCTAGAGTGTAAATTCAACCCCAGGGTTTTCACACACTGTATTGCACTGATTCTAATGTTCGGTATATTTTCATAGGGATACGTCTTATGATTACGGCATGTTCATCTAGCTGGTACCTTTATTTCTTCTGCTTAATGGAAGTTAATAGTACAGCTTATAAAACATGGAGTCCTAGATTTGATGAAATAATGCACAAAGAACAACAGTCCCCCGTTCCATCTGACAGACAAAGATGAAGAAACCACATGCAACTCATACACTTCCTAACAACAGCAGCACTTAGCGAACTGAGTTTGTGTTAGTGGCTAACGAATCATCTTCGTTTTACAGACCTAGGACACAGACCTCTAAACCTTAGAGAAACCAAGCAACCCGCTTGGGATCATGTACTTGGTAAGTGCTGGGGTCAGAAGCCAGCCCTGTCTGTGACTCCGAAGGCCAAGAATGTAACCAAAGAACAGTGTCATCACCAAACCCCATCAACCCTGTAAGCTGTTATCTTGTCTTCTTTGACTCACATCCTGCATGCTAATTTTACTATCAGAGATATTTAATAAATGACTAGTTGGTTACACTTTTTTTTTCTTTGGAGAGGTTTTTTTCACTAGAGGGTACGTGTGCTCGCCAGACAGAGACATAGAGACAGAAAGCGAGAAATCACCCCCCAGGGGAGATGGTCACACCGCAATCCCTTCTCCATTCTCCTCTCGGGATCTTGGGCACGCAAGCACACAGGGCACACGCGCCTTGTGTGATTTTTAAACCATCGGGTCTCGGACGCGAACTGCGGTCGACTATGTGGGAGTCCAGCGACATAGCTGTTATGCTAACTGCTGGTTCCTAGTTGGTTACACTTTTTGAACTCAAGATATTGCTTCTGGTACAGTACTTAAATTCCAAATGAAAGCACCATTGCACTCACAGATGAGAAGGGCTATGAACACCACAAGAACCTTCTTGATCTACTCGTTACTTAATCCCTAGCCTCTAAAACACTGTTTCGTGTTTGGTAAGTACTCAAATATATTTGAGTATATATCTGAAAAAATATTTTCTGCCCCATTACTGTCTTGCGTATTCAAATTTTTCCAAGATGCTAATAAAATGGATAGTTACAGTCCACAAATATGCTAGCACTGAAAATGAGGAAAAACGCTCAAAGGGGAATAAAGAAATCTTTTTAAAATGAGAGACACATTTTTTTTTTTCAGTTTCCAGAGGGCACATGTGCTCACCAGAGGCAGAGACAGAGAGAGGCAGAGACAGAGAGAGGCAGAGCGAGGAAGCACCCTCCAATGGGCACAGTCAAGCCACAATTCCTTCTTCATCTCTACATCCTGCCAGGGTTAGAGACGCGCACATGCATGCATGGCATACTCCTCAAGCCGCTGGGGCCAGGACTCGAACCATGGTCAGTCGTGTGGAATGAGGCTTCCTCAAGCACCAGGCTATGGGGCCAGCTTAAGAGGTTTTTCTGACATGGCCTTGCCATGTCCTGACCCTCTACTGCAGCCTCTCAGTTAGCCAGGACCAGAGACCATACCACGATGCCCGGCCAGTTTAAATCACATGGAATTCAAACCCAGGCCTCCCACACCGAGACTACTCATACTTGGCTTCTGAGCAGCAGCATCTTAGCAGCACAGGCTGCCATGGCTGAGCCCCAGGGGTAAAAGAAACGTAGTAACATCCGAACCAAGAAAACCTTCCCCAGGCTGTCCTACTCTGTCACTCCAACCTCATTTTCTCGCATTCCTTAACTGATGCCCTTCCTCCACCATACACTGTACTAACTCAAAGCTGCTCACGTCTCCAAAGACACGCTTCTAGCATTTTCTGGCACAGCTGCTCACCTTGTCTGCTCACCTTGCCCTTCTCCCCTTCCTCATCCACACCTTGTCACCCCTTAACTCAGAACCTTCCACAGCCCTCCCTGAAGGCCAGACTAGCACCTACGCCAGGCTGAAACCAGCTACTCCCACATCGCCATTTATACTGGACTGTAAGTGCCTCCAAGCCAAGCAGCAAGACGTGAGTGACACAGGCTGGGAGAATCTGTTAACTCATGCCTCTCCCGAGCCAGCACCCCCCTCCAATGAGGATTCAGCAAATTACAGGCAGGTGGGGGGAAGCTGAAGAGGACCAACGTAAAACTATCTTCAGACACACGTAAAAACAGCGAGTAAAAGCCGCCCGCCTTCCAACACCTGCCTCCACAGTAGAGGACGCGGAGTGGGTAATCCGCGTCTAACTTGGCACTGTTCTTCGGGTCTCCTCTGCACTCGGCCCCACTGGATTCGGAAATGTCCGCAGCCATTTCACAAACCTGTAAGGAAGGAAAAGAAAACATCTTAGTTTGAACTCAGACCTCAGAGGAGCGGCATCGCCCCCTCCCCTTAAAGACCCCCCAACGCCAGAGCTGTTGCAATTATCTGCTAGGTGAAGAATGGAAGTCCTATCAGCAATTCCGGGTCCACAGGCCTACAGACAAGCCAGCAGCCCCGTGAAGGCTGGGGCAGAGGGACACTAGCAAGCAGCAGCCATGGGGAAAAAGAGGACGGCGTGGGTGACCTCGTGCACAGAGCCAGGGGTCCGAGGGTGATCTGGGAGGGTGCACGCCAGAGGGAGAGAAAGCTACAGATCTGCTGGACCCCGAGAGGCTGGGAAGGCCGAGGCAGGGGGTTCCGGGACGTGCCCGGAGCGCGGCGGCGGGGGCAGCTAGACGCCAACAGAGGCGCCGAGGCTCGGGCCGGGGCGGGAGAGGGCGGGGTGCCTAGGAGCTCGGGGCTGCAAACGGGGCGGGAGAACCAGGAGGGGCAGGACGGGCGAGCACAGAGGGGACCGCTCTGAGCGAGGGGGCGACCCGGGGACGCCGAGGGGCCCCGTGGGGAGTGTGGGGACGCCCGGCCCGGCCCCCTTCTGCCAGGCAGCAGCTCGGCCTCCCACACGCTCTCTGCGCGCCTCCCGGGAGCAAGAGAGGCACGAGGGGTCGTTACCCAGGCGGTCGCACAGCCCCGCCAACTCCGCTCCCACCGCGCCCACCGCTACCGCCGGCTGAAGCGACACATGCAACCCCTTCCCCGGTCAGGGCCGCCCGAGAGCCCGTCTGCCAGGCGCTTCCCCGCGAGACAATAAGCCTTTATCGCGAGATTCAGGCCGCCGCTGGGAGGTTGTCGCGAGAA